GAGCCCCTCCGGAGTCTGTACACACCCCCAGTGAGCACAGGTACCTACTAAGTGTGAATGCCAAGTGACGAGTGATTGGGAGGATTGAGTTAATGTGAGGATTGAGTGGCTGTGAGGACTGAGAAACTGTAAGGACTGAGTGGCTGTGACGACTGAGTGACAGTGAGGACTGAGTGAATTGATACTCTGAGAGTATGCATATGGTTTTATCACTACGTCGCATCGCATTTAACATGCACACTTGACATACAGGCATAGAGATGCATTTTTCCTTATGTTGTACGGTATCATATCATTCATAACTTCTCAGACATATTGACATATAGGCAGAGAGATGTATTTTCCTCATGCCATTTGAAAATGAAACATTTACCTGTTGCGAGAATTTTCGGAAAATTTCAGTTTTCAAACTTTCTCATATTTTTGGCAATTTCGGTAAAAGATTTGGGTTTTCACTGATATACTTGAAAAGCAGTCCTATTTTTCTGGAAATGAGGATGATCTGAGCATTTTATCTCTGAATTACTTCTTTTATTACTTTCATTTGTTATTTATTGAGTATATGGGGTCGGTTATACTCATACTACACTTCTGCACCTTGCGTGCAGATATTGGCTGCTAATGTTGTTGTGTTCGATAGGAGCTGGATTTGAAGATGTACCTACATTTCGGTTGTATCTTCCTCTTGTTCATGGTAGCCGTAGATTTATAAAAATAAATTTATTTATGTACATTTCTAACATATGATATATTTACTTCATACTAGCTTTGTAAAAATTAAATTCTTAGAAGCTCATGACTTGTAATACTAGTCCTTGGAAAATGTATAGGATTTGGATATTTTCTTTTACTTAATTACCTTATTAAATTTCATTGGAATTGGATAGTTGTAAATTAACTTACCTAGCGGGTTAAGTTAGGTGCCATCACGACTAGTTAGATTTTGGATCGTAACAGTTGTCTTCCTTAGCATACTGCTAATTGTTTTCCTCTGTGTTGCCCTATTTGCTCAGTTCTATGTGGCTACCCTTGTTGTGTTTGTCGTAATGTCCATTCATTGTTGTCTCATTTACACTGTACATTTAGTGGTGATAGTTTCTTATGTGTCATTCCTTATCTCCACTCTTAATTGTGGACTTGAATTGTGGTAGAACACTTGTACAATCATACACGTAGATGAATCATCCACATCGATTAAGGAGATGAGTCCTAATATTATTGACCATCATGTGTACTCTTGTCTATTTGCCTTCTATGTGAGAGTTGTACTCTTGTCTCCTGATATTATTAGAGACTAGGTGCCATCACGATATCTTATAAAGGGAAATTGGGTCGTGACACAAATAAATGAACATCTTTTGCTGCCAACATTTGAAATCAATCCCGAAAAATTTTTCGGGCTCTGCCTGAGCCGACGCTAGCACGGAATGACTGGAAGAAGCAATATTGCTCTTTGAGCCAACCACGGGGGTTACTGTTTCTGTCATTTCTGTTAGTCACACAAAACAAGAAAAAAAAATTAATTAACGGTGAAATATTTAAAATCTTCGAACCGAATAAAATTTAATAGAAACAAATTAAATAACATGGTAAAGATTTTATATTTTCAAACCGAATACAAAACGAGTAGAAAATCATAAAGATTTTAATCTCGTAATTGAGTAAAAAGTCACAAAGACTTTAATCTCAACCAATGAGTAGAAAATCCGAGGATTTTAATCTCCAAAATTAGAGTAGAAATCACTAGGATTTAGTCTCCCACAAACAAAATATAAGATGAATACATAAAAAAATATTAAGTTCCTTAAGCTTGTTAGTAATCTGTATTCAAAAATATATTCAAAGAACCAGAAGCAAAGTAAAACCAGAAATGTAGAAGAAACAGAAAATTAATCTGAGCCCACTGAATTCAAAGTGTTTCTTTAAGGAACTTAATCCTCTCCTAATACCCGAGGTTTAGGATTATTTCCTCCCAAGATAGAACGGATTACCCTCACAGGTGTAGTAGCGGTACTTCAAACCCCAGTGACCAATGAACTTAAAGATCGGTAGCAAATCACACTTATTGCTTTCTTTCTATTAAAACAATGCAGAAGGAAGAATGAGACATCAGAATTTTCGTAAGGAAAATCTTTGGGAAAGATTATTTATAGCCAAAAAGTTGGGTAATACCGAAGAGTTACAACTCCTCATTTAAAGGCTCCAAATTTAAATTCTAACGGGAAAATCAAATACAGAGGAAAATTAATTTACCGTTACAAAACGGCTAATTTGGATTAAATATATTAACCTTAATATTACCAAATATCAAGCTGAAGCCGAAGCCAAAACCGAGCAACGACGACGATTGTGCGAGGCTTGCCTTCTTCTCATTTCTTTAAGAGCTACAAGAAGTGCAGTTGCATATATAACAATCAAAACTTTTTTCCTCCTCCAATATAGGACAATATCCCTTTGTCAAAGAGGAAAATTCAAAAAAAATTATGTTTTCCCCATTTCCTATTCACTCCATTTTAAGTTATAACAATCTTAAACCCAACAGCAGTGGACTTGGAGAATTTCCCTACTGATAACTAGGAAAGCAAGATAATGTGGAGACATGTGATCTGATAATGTCTATGAGTTCCACTGAAGGTTTGCACTTTGAAGTGCCGCTACTACAGAATAATAATTTATTTTGTTTTATCTTGGAAGTAATTAAATTCCAAAACCTTAGGCAAGATCGAGGAGACTAAATTCTTTAAGGACGCACAGATGCTCGGAACTTCATCTAGCTAGTTTTAACTAACATTCTGCTTCTAATTACGCTTTTAATTGTTGTGAATACAGAAAGATAACAATTCACACATCTGCCTATGGATTTTTCAATGCACTATCAGTGCTTTATTTGCTTGTGGCAGTGAAGATATTCCAGATCTTGAAGTACTTTGAACTTTAGCATTTTGATTATTGATACAATGCCAATTGGGGTAAGGTAGTAGTACTAAATATTTAATTTATTCCATTAATTCCTCGTGATTTGACCACTATGGTGCCATTGGCCTACCATTGCTTGTTAATGCAGAGAAAATAATAAGGAATTTGCGGAAATGGAGTGGTGCTTGTAGAGAATTTCTCTCGTCTTCATTCCAGTGGCAATGAAAAGATATGTTTATAGTGAATATATGAGCATCATAGGCTACCCACATCCAGTCATCTCCGTAATATATTGCCCTATATGCACAATGCCCCATTTGCCATACACATGAGGAATCAATCACTCACTTATTCTTACAATGTCACAATGCAAAATTGCTCTGGGAACGCTTGCACATTAATTTATCCAATGCAAATTTAGATAGACTACATGACAATACTTCATATACACTGTCTCAACTCATTTTGCGAACAACTACTCATAGCACACAAATCTCTCCTCAGATCTTAATCCCTTTCACCCTTTGGAATTTATGAAAAATTAGGAATCGTACTATTTTCGACGAAAAATATATTCCACTAGACCCCAATCACATAATAAGCTAAGCTGCAGAATTTTTTTACGTAGGTATCAATCATACTAACACTATACCGCAAAAATTACAGATGCATGTTAAATGGAACCCTCCCAATAATGGTTGATTTAAACTTACCTCGGATGGTGCATGTAACATAGCCAATCAAAAATATGGTTTTGGTGGAGTAATTCGAGACTCATAAGGTAGATGGTTACTAGGATACATGGGTTCCTGACCTATGGGGAACATAATCTACATGGAACTTACGACATTACAGGAAGGGCGAAGGTTTTCCCTACAACATAATTTCACACCACTGGAGGTCAATGTGGACTCAACAGAGGTAATCTCATCCCTTCTTTCACATAATCCACATTACTCATCTTTGATTGATGAATGCAGATATCTACTATACCTTCTGGGTAGTCCTTGGGTGACACATGTATATAGGGAGTAAAATCAAGTGGCAGATCAAATGGCCAAACAAGGGACAACTCTACCCATGCAAACCACAACTACTGAACTTTTGGAGGCACCACTTTTTGTAATGCACAAGTACATTGATGAACAACGTGGAGCACTCCACCAACGTTCCACAACTGCAAACAACACGTTGGGACACACATCTTTTTGTTTACATATGTTGTCCAACACTTGTATGGGTGCACAACGATATTTTTGTATTTCTGTACTGCAGTTCGCCCCTTGTACTAATCCTTAATATATATATAATATATATATTTATATATGCATCTTTGATAGACAAACAAAAGGTACTGGGATGGGAAAAGGTTAAATATACCCTTCTATTATGCGAAAAGGATTAGGTTTACCCTCTGTTATACTTTCGGTACAAAAATACCCCTAACATTAGCTAAATAATTAAATATAGCCTTTCTTTATTAGAATTGTCCAAGGTGGAGACCGTATCCCATGTGGCGCTACTATTTTGATGAGGTGGACACCACGTGGCATGCCACCTCACCAAATATTAGAATCAGCCATGGAAACACAGAAGAGAGATACGCAGAGAAGCAATTTGGGAATTTTCACTGCTGCATTGCCTTAACAAAAAATGATGATGTACAGGCTGTATATACTCCACTAACCGACTAAGCAACCTAACTTCCTAGAATAATAATGAGATACTCTAACTTTGTGTTAATTAGAAATTGACCCCAAATACTAACTAAGTATGCCATACTTCAATACTCCCTCTCAAGCTGGAGAGTGAAGTATATTTAACACACCCAGATTGCTTAGATGCTACCAAGATACCAACCCCTTGGTAAGCAAGTCAGCCAACTAGTCCTTGGTATGCACATACTTGGTCTCCAAAACACCTTGAGTTATCTTCTCTTGAATGAAATGACAATCAATTTCAATATGCTTGGTGCGTTCATGGAAGATAGAATTGGAAGCAATTTGCATGGCTGCTTTGTTATCACAGTATAGAGTAACAAGTTGGAGTACAGAAACACCTAGTTCTGCAAATAAGCCCATTAACTAAGTGATTTCAACAACAGCAGTGGTCATACTCCTGTATTCAGCTTTTGCACTGCTTCTGGAGACTATGTGTTGTTTCTTAAACTTCCATGAGATTAAGGTATCTCTAAGCTTCACCAAATAGCCACTGATAGACCTTCTAGTGACAGGAAAATCTCCCCAGTCCGAGTCACAAAAAGCAACTAGAGAATGCACAAGTGACCTCTTAAGGTGAACCCCAAGTCTAGGAGCATTCTTGAGATATCTGACCACTCGAAGGGATGCATCTATATGAGACCTCTTAGGTGCATGCATGAATTTACTGAGACTCTGAACAGCATAACATATTTCTGGCCTGGTAACTGTAAGATACAGAAGCTTCTGAATGAGCTTCTGATAACTGGTTATGTCCACTAAAGGATCTTCAGTGGACGAATAGCCTGCTACCTTATCAAACTCAATTGTGGTCAGTTTTTGATTAATTACAAGAGGGGTAACTACTGGTTTAGCTCCACTAAGCCCTAGTTATGATAATCAACTCTAGAGTGTACTTCCTTTGATTGAGAAGGATCACATGTTTAGATCTTAATACCTCAATACCAATGAAGTATCCCAATTCACCTAAATCCTTGACTTTAAATTGTTGATGCAAGGAATGTTTGGCTTCATAGATTAACTCGATGCTACTCCCAGTTATCAATAAATCATCAACATAAATCAGTATCACAACAATGTGCTGATCAACTTTCTTAGTGAATAGAGAATAGTCAAATCTACTCTGTTTGAAGCCTGCATTTAGCAAGGCTTGAGTAAGCTTCAAGTTCCACTGTCTGGAGGCTTACTTGAGTCCATGTAAGGATTTCAAAAGTCTGTAGACTTTCCTCTGCTCCCCCTATCTCTAAAACCCCTATGGTAAATCCATGTATACCTCTTTTGAGAGATCTTCTTGTAAGAAAGCATTGAAGACATCCATCTGGTGCAATTCCTAGTCCTTAGAGGCTGCAAATGCAATGACTGATCTGACAACTGGTGAAAAAGTTTTATTATAATCCAATCCTTCTTGTTGGTTGTATCCTTTAGCTACTAATCGAGCCTTAAACCTCTCTATCTCACCACTGACTTTATATTTGATCTTGTAGACCCACTTGGAGCCTATACAATTCTTCCCAGGAGGCAAGTCAGCTATTTCCCATGTTTTGTTATCTTCTAAAGCCTAGATTTCTTGCCTCATGACCTCTATCCACTTAGGATCTTTCACTGCTTCTCTGAAGTTGTGTGGCTCCCTTAAGGCTGAAAAAACTAAAATATAGTCTTTTTACTTCTGTGACATATGGTCATATGAGAGGAAGTGAGAGATAGGGCAAACACAATGTGATGATGTTGAATTGGTGGTCACATAATCTTGTAATCATATAGGAGGATTTTTGGTTCTGGTAGACTTCCTAGTTGTTGTAATAGAGCTGGACTCTTCTGGTATATTGGATTGATTGTCAGGTGTATTAGGACATGGAGACTCCACCTCAGTTGGATCAGATACTTGATCAATAGAGGAGTCTACCACTGGATCACCATGTACTACTTGGTCTTCCACCAGACGTGTAGCTTCATCACTAATTTGAATGCTTGGTTCTTCTATCCTTGCTGTTGTTACTGGATTTGCAGGCTCATGTTGAGGAGCCAAAAAATCTGTAGAATGATCCACTACTGATGGAACAGGAACCTTATCTGTCTTGGCAAAGGGGAATTCATTTTCCTAAAACACAACATCCTTGCTAACAAAAAAAGTATGAGTGGCCAAATCATATAATCTGTATCTTTTCTGAGTTGTGGAGTAGCCTATAAGCACTGCATGTCTTGCTCTTGCTGCAAATTTATCCTCTTTCAACATATTTGTGGCATAGCATAAGAAATCAAACACTCTCAAGTGAGTGAGTGATGGTTTCCTACCATATAACAATTCAAAAGAACTTTTACCATTCAGAATTCTGGAAGGTAATATGTCCAGTATGTAAATTGTAGCTTGTACACACTCACCCCAAAATCTACTAGGAATAGATACCTGAAACTTTAAGGCCCTTGCAATATCTAAGATATGCCAATGTTTTCTCTCCACTATGTCATTTTATTGTGGTGTATACACACAACTGCTTTGGTAAATGACACCATGTGCATGCAAATAGTCATTTCACTGACAGTTGAAAATTCAGTCTCATTGTCTGTTCGAATCACTTTAACTGTGGTATCAAACTGAATTTGCACCATGCAAAGGAATTGATTTAAGAAAACAATAGTCTCACTTTTTAATTGCATTAAAAAAAAATCCAAGTTGCTCTAGAGAAATCGTCCACAACAGTGAGAAAATAGTATTTATTATCATGAGTAGTAGTCCTATATGGTCCCCATACATCCATATGCACTAACTTAAAAGGCTTAGTACTTCTACTCTCACTATTAGGAAAGCTTAGTCTAGTCTATTTGCCTGAGGTCAAATAATACATTTATTATGAGCTGCATTATCTACTCTATGGTGCAAGAAGGAAATATGCTGCATCACTAGAATAGAACGGTGCCCTAGTCATTTATGCCACAAACTACTAGATTCTGCACTTGTTTTTCCTGCTGCATTAGCCTGAGCCACCAGCTGTTTGGCACCTTTTTCCTTTCAGCAGATACAAGCCATCATTCTCTCTACCAATCTCCTTCACCCTGCAATTGTAAAGATCCCGAAATATACATAATTCAGGTAGAAAAATGGAAGCACAACACAAATCCCTAGTTAGTTTTGAAACTGACATCAGGTTAAACTTAAAATTAGGGACATCGAGCACATTTTCCAGCTTGTTATCTCCTAGCAACCAAGCACTACCAATGTGAATGATATCAATGCTATCTCCATTAGGCAGCTTAACTTTATTGTTACCAAAATTATCAATATTTTTCACATCACTCAACATATCCAATGTAGAAGTTACATGATGTGTAGCCCTAGAGTCTACTATCCAATTTAATGTATGCACAGTTGATGAAAGAGAGACAATTGTACCTACCATATATGCCTGAGTCTGTGTCTAGGTTCATTTTTACTGAGCAAATTCAGAATTTGCTGGTACTGTACTTCAGTAAAGAAGTAGTCTCCACTCCTGGTGTATGAGGTTACTGGTGTGTTCATATTAGTAGATCCTGCATCATTGTTAGATGCTGTGATAATGCCTCTTCCCTGACCATTTCTTGGCTGATATCCACCTATTTTGTTCTTGTAGTCATCTAGATGACCAATTAGCTTGTAACAATTCTCCTTAGCGTGTCCTCTCATGTGACAATGCTCACATTGCAAAGGCTGCTTCTTCCAACGATATGGTTGACCTCTTCCAACCTGTAATGCCAAAGGATCTACCTTGTTCATCCCAGTGTTGTTATTGATGGCCCATTGACTTCTATCCTGTATTATTATAGCATAGGCTTGATTAAGTGTTGGCTCAGTTGTCTTCATAAGGATCTGCCTCCGTGCCTGATCATAAGTGTCACTAAGCCCATTCAAAAATTGCATCATCCTCTGTTGCTGAAGATGCACAACATGTTCCTTTGACTTAGAACAACCACAGTTAGGAAATGGAACCAAACCATCATGCTCTACCCATAGTTCTTTCAATTTGGTAAAATACACGGCCACAATATCACCTCCTTGTGAAAATTTTGAGATTTCAAGATATAATTGAAAGATTCTCACTCGATTTACCTTAGCAAGCGCTCCATAAGATCTTCCCACACGACACGAGCATCAGATGCATAAATGATTCTACTGATTAATTCTTTCAAAACTAAGTTCATAATCCAGGAATGAACAATCGCATTGCATGTTTCCCACTCCTCATGGAGTGCCTCTTTAAACGATGCCTTATTAAAGTTCCTGTTACAAACCCTAACCTGCGTTTACCTGTCAGTGCGAGTCGTATCAATCTACTCCACAGGCTGTAGTTTTCAGAATCAATGAGTCGAATAGGAATCAATACCAAACCAGGTGTGTCAGAAGGCTGCAAATACAAGGGATGAGTGTGATCTTCTCTTCTCTTCCGCCATTGGAGATCGATTGAAGAAGCTCAAAAAAAATAGTGCTGAGATTGATCAAGAGATACTTACAAATTGCCTAGCTGTGCGAGTGAAATCAAATGAAGCTCCTGCAATTTTGCTCTCTCATGACTCTGATACCATGTTAAAATCAGCCATGGAAACACAGAAGAAGAGCTACACAGAGAAGTAGTTTGAAAATTTTCACTGTTGCATTGCCTTAACAGAAAATGATAATGTACAGGTTGTATATACTCCACTAACCGAATAAATAACCTAAATTCCTAGAATAATAATGAGATACTCTAACTTTGTATTAATTACAAATTGACCCCTAATACTAATAACTAAGTATGGCTGACTAAGTATGCCATACTTCAATACCAACCTCAACCCATTTTACCCCTTCCCTCCACTTCTTCCGCCACTAGCACCTCCTCCACACCACCACCACCACCACCACCACCACCACTGTTACCAATAACAACACAATGGCCACCATATATTCTAATTTTTACCAGTTTCTGAGCGAAAAGTTTTGTGGTCTTATGTACAATATTGATACTGACATCCAGTGGTGGAGGCAGGATCTCCACGAAGGGGGTTCAAAAAAAAAATTGTATCTAGTGAGAATTGAACTCATGACCTTATGTAGATTTTGAACCCCCTTGACCACTAAACTACACTTTTGGATTGTGGTAAGGGGGTTCAAAACTTAATATATAGAGGTAAAAAACAGATTTTGCCTTATATATACAGTGTATTTTTTCGACGAAGGGGGTTCGGGTGAACCCCCTTGCGCCCCCCTAAATCCGCCCCTGCTGACATCCTATCCAATATTCATTGAAAGGATCTTTATTTTTTGAATCTTGGAAATGATTCTTAGAGTGACTTTTGGAAAGGAAGTAACATAATGTAAATTTTTTTCTTTTCGTTGTATCATCTTATATCTGTTCTTTTTTCATTTTAAAATAGCTAACTTTCTATGAAATTTGAAGTATTACGGATAGTAGTTTGTTCAAGAATATCAAAAAAAAAGTTCTCAAACATTTTCCTACATTCGGCTTCCAACTTCTTACAGTTTTCCGTATATGGTATTATTTCCTTCTCAAAAAATTTCCTAAGAAAAAACTTTCGACGAAAAAAATGTACACTCATGCGCTCTCACAAAGATCCCTATGTTGAAACGTCTACATGAATTTGTCTATAAAATGGTGGTAGTGGATGGGGAAGAGGTGCTAGCTAGTGGTGGAAGAAGAAGTGGAGGAAAGGGGTAAAATGAGTTGGGGTTGGTGAGTTGGCATACCACGTGGTGTCCACATCATCAAAATATGGCAGTGCCGCATGGGATAAGGTCTTCACCTGGAACAATCCTAACGGAGGAAGGGTATATTTAAACCATTTAGCTAACGTCAGGGCTATTTTTGTACCGAAAATATAATGGAGGCCAAATCAGATCATTTTCGCATAGTTGAAGAGTATATTTGACCAGGGATTTTAAGGATTCACTGGGACAAGTTTCATATTCCTTTATCCCTGTTAAGACTAGTTTTTCAATGTGAAATTTGAATAGCAAGCTGAGATGTCAAAAGTACTACGGAAAGCCACTCATATCTATTATCATACAAAACGCTGCCTCACATCACCTTGATTAAAATGCATATCCCTTGTCTCAGTATTTTACACCAAATAGTGGAAGTACTTATATTTTTTAAAATTTTACTTTTCAATATAATTGATTCTTCTTTAATTATTACCAGTCCTGGTGTTGGAGGAGCTATGGTAAATTAGTGTTCTTTGAGCATGTTTAATTTCACGATATTAATTGCACCAAAATAAGGTTGCTCGCACCGATCTGTGTTGTTGAAAATGATCGAGTACTATGGGCACTTAATAACTATGATATTCAATTCGTCTGCAAATAACTAGCTAATTCATTGGATCTTTATGAAGGTAATGTTACATGGAGATGCTTTAGACCCCACGGATCGGACTTGTCATATATACTCTCGTTAATTGCAAAGATAGTACAATGAAATTTTGCTTTACTAGGATATTTTTGTTTGAAATGTCCAAATAATTGGAATGTGCCTTTATTAGTCTCGTCACTCACTAGTTATTAGCATACCAAGGCACATCCATTCTCCAATAAAACAAAGAGAAGAAAGGGACACTCGATCATATCTATCATCGTTTAGGACAAAATTAATTATTTCCAAACGCTAGCTAATCCACTTGCATTTTGTTGAGACCCCACAAGTCCAAATCTTTGAGATTTTGCCTAGATCTTATGATGGCTTCACTTCACTGCAGTAAGTTTTTAATCTGGCAGCTGCAAACAAGAGGCATTGCTGAGATGATCACCTAGGTATAACACCTGCAGGGTCGCCGGTTCGAGTCACCCAAGGAACAATAACTTCGACAAAGAGGGATCAAAGAGTAATTAAAGTCGAAACAAAATTAAAGGAATCTGCTGATCTGCACAAATAGTTGACTGGATGGTCCCCGGCCCAACAGCTGAAGGTAGTCTTTGTATCTTGGAGTATATATTTCGATTTAATGGCTTCTAAAAAGTTGTCGTATAGATATCTAATAGAATGGTAGCCTACTCACCTATAGTAGTATTGCTGCTTTACTTTTATGCTTTTTAAGATATCGATCCTAATGTTGTTCATCAAGCACGCATGGAAACTTCTTTGCTGGTTGTCTAGCTACATTGACATCTTAATCTTTGTAAGAAGCTTGATGCGCATTGAAAACTTCCCCTTTACTTCTGCTGAGAAAAATGGAAACAAACGAATTGCGTATGCTTTAGTACATTTCTTTCTCTACAAAATACCATAAACCTCTTAATGTAGAAAATATTATTACAGTTGAAAAGATAATCTACGTGGTATGCCCATTGAAAACATCAGTTTACTTCATACACAATTAAAATATTTTTTTTTACTCTGTATACCTGTTTTATAAATTTAATTTACCATGTATACATACTATAGTCTAAAATATAATACCGTGTATTCCAAATTAGAATATTCTGATATATTTGGTTTGGATATTATATTCCAAATTAAAAAGTTATCATATGATTGGTTTGGATACTATCACTATACGTATAACGCTTCACCTATACAGATACCTACATATGTAATTTCTACGAGCCTGGAACCAAAATGTGGTTCTTTTGGACTCAAAGAACCAAAATGCATAAGGAAAAAAACTGGTGACCATTTTATATATAACGCCCTTTTAAAGGGCGCTATACCTTAACGGCTGTTTGCCCACTTAAGTATAGATTATCGCGCTATACATATTATGTGGACCCACCAATAGTTCTTCTGTGCTTAAATGACATAACAATAATTCAACTGGGTATAGCGCACTTATTTAAAGCGCTATAACTCAAAAAATACTACCCCCTGATTGATTTTCGCTTATTTAAAGACGTTAAGGATTTTGTAAAAATCAATTCATAAATATTCTCAAGTCTTGTGAAATATATTAAGTTGTATTGCATTTTGTCATAATGTCTGAAGAGCAAGAATTAGGGTTTCATTATATTGGGGAGGTGAGGTTGTGATGGCGAATAACTCAGTAAGCTATAGTTTTTCTCCACAGTGTCATGTTAAGTTGCCACTTATAATGGAGTAATAGATTGGTATCGTTGTTATGTAATAAAATGAGTGTGAGCAAATATTCGGTGAATATTAAAGTAACTTGAAGATATCCATATTCTGTGACTCCGCAAGAGGTTGCTTGTTATGCTAAGTTTAACATTGAAGACGATAAAACTTCGAGAGATTTTTGAGGACTCCGGATGAATACCGGGAATTTCTTGTGATAAAACTGTTGGAAATGTATGTCAAGGCTGAAGACGTTCGCAATAATGAGGTTGTGCAAAGTAGTGATATCCCTCAATTATCGGATGATTATTTTGGAGCAGTTTTAGCCTAACAGGTTTCGGGTGAAAGAGTTTGGCATGATCTAAACTTATCTCCACGGGCGAATGAGGAGTAAAAAAATAATTTTTCCCCTATTTTACATAATCCACAAGTTGAGTGGTAAACTTCTATTTTTCTTTGTGTTACAATGTATATTTTTAGGTATTAAATTTGTATTAATGCTTATATATTCCACAGGGGGTACCGATCAGATATGAATTTTACAAGTTATGAACCAACGACCAATTGAAATATGCCTCGTTTTGGTATGTTGGATCATGGTGGTCCATTTGGGAGTCATCATCAACATGATAATGTGCATCATGGGATATCAACACATTATGATTTGTAAGTGAATATATAAAGTTATATGTAAAGTTTGGATCAATTAGAGTAACTCATTATTTTATTAGTTGTGTAGTGAAAACAAGCAACTTGATGGACCTGTCGTTACTCAATTGCCTGAAGACGGCATATTTAATCGGGATCTGGCAGATGCATAGAATCAAGAAGAGAATAGTGATTATGACAACAATGCTGATGAGTTTGGAGATGACACACTCTTCCCTGATAAGGGTGATGATAAGGAGAAAGAGAAGGCTGAACCTGATTTGACGAGTGAGCATGTTCCACCTCCCATTAGACCAAGAGTGTACGAGCCCCGCATGCCATTTCATTCAAGGGAGATTCCCTACCTTGATCATTTTCCAAGTATGCCGGATGCAGATGAATTCATAAGGGATATTGACGAAATTAAGGCAGCAATGTGGGATGAATCTTGAAAAACTGTGTTGTCAAAGGGCATGCTTTTTCCTGATAAAATGCGCCTAAGCAGGGCGTTGCGAATGTACATCGTAAAAGAGTATTGTGAGATGATGGTAGCAGATTCATCTCCGGATGAATACAAGGTTATTTGACGTAGATGGTTTACGGGTTGTAATTGGATGTTGCGTGCAAGGAAGAAAAAAACAAATATGTGGGTTGTGTTAAATATATTGGCACCCACAATTGTGAAATGGATACATTCAGTGGGAATTACTTTAACTTGGATGTTGACTTGATTTCTCTTGTCTCGATTCCACACATTGAAGCATCCATAAGGTACAAGATCAAAGAGTGTATAGCATCTGTCCACCAGGAATATGGGTGTACCATTACTAGAAGAAAGGCATTTCTCCGGTGCAAACGTGAGTTTGAAATTGTTTATGATAACTGGGATAAGTCATTTGCATCTCTACCCAGGTACATGGCCGCATTGCAACACCTTAACCTCGGGAATGTTGTTGAATGGAAGCTTGAGCGGAGTCTGGGAATACCAGAATATATATTCAAATATGTGTTCTGGGCATTTAAACCAGCAATTGATGGTTTTTTGCATTGCCGGCCGGTAATATCCATAGATGGCATTTGTGTCTATGAAAAGTATGATATTAAGTTGTTGATCGTTGTTGCAGTAGATACTAATGGAAGTATATTTTCCCT